CAAAGCAGAGGCTGCGGTGTTTATGCATTGATTCATTTTATTTATTTATTTTCTTAATCATCGACTATTTGAAGGGTTTAAAAGAACGTCTTGGCCGCTCACATGATATTTTTGCTGTCGCCTGAAGCATCTGAAACATAAACTACCCACAGAAGAGAACAGGACAGAGCTGGACACGTCAGAGCTGCTGTCAATCATCTGCTCTGACACTCATCATCATCACCACCTTATCTTCACTGTACCGCCGGACTTCAGCCTGAACAAAAGACATGCATATGAAGGCCGAGGGCACAACGCCATAATAGTACAACATTAATCTCATTCGATAGGCGTAATTAAATTTCAGAAGCCACGTTTGGCCGAATAATGGAGAGGAAACCTGGCTTATGGCGAACAATAGATTTCAAACACTCATGTAGATGCTCAGCATTTAGCGCTGCTTGTCTTTCAATTCACAGATGACTTTCTTCACGATAAATGTGAATGTTTTTTTCTTATCTGCATCGTCTTTGCTCCCTTACAAGGCTCTGCCTCTTTTAAATGTACGATTATTAATCATGTTGGCATAATCTCTGATAAAACCGGATTATGTGCCGATCTCTTTAAATGAATTAGATGCTTTGACTTTCGATTTGGATAATAATAATAATAATCATAATAAACACACAAATAATTAGAATAAAACTGGCATGCATGCATGCCAATTTTCTGTTTTAAATACAAATGTATGCACTGATATTAAGAGCTAGGGGGGAAAGGTCTGGCGACATTTGCAATGCAAGTTTCTGCAATTAAATGATTTTTCCCACTTGTTAAAAGCTGTCATTTTAGGTATCATTTTAATAATAGGGAACAACAGAGAAGGTGCGCGCAGAATCCACTTAAACATACAATTTACACAAGGACTCTCTCATATATCTGTAGCCTAATTGCACAGTGAAATATTCCTCAACCTCATTTTCGGGTCACGATGCGCTGCCTTCTGAAAATCCTTTGAAGTCGGAGAGAAAGAAGCGAAGCTGTCAAGAAGAAAAAGTTCTCAGTGCGATAAACACCTCACGCTTTATCTAGCTTATTAATACCTGTGTGTTTTAGTGAAATATTCAGATAAATTAAAGTAGACGTGCGTTCCGTTTGGTCTTCATTTTCGGGTCACGATGCGCTGCCTTCTGAAAATCCTTTGAAGTCGAGAGAAAGAAGCGAAGCTGTCAAGAAGAAAAAGTTCTCAGTGTGATAAACACCTCACGCTTTATCTAGCTTATTAATACCTGTGTGTTTTAGTGAAATATTCAGATAAATTAAAGTAGACGTGCGTTCCGTTTGGTCAAGACGGCTGATATTTTTTTTCTGATTTAATTTCGTAATGTATTGCACTAAATGTACGTTCATTAACTTTTACCTATCATTTATTACATGCCTATTTCATTCTGCGCGAATGGAACGCACCCTGATCAGGCATATGAACCCAAAATATAAATAAAAAGTGATTTATTAGGTTATATTTGCTAAAGGTGACTCAATATTGACGGCCAATAAGTTCTCGAACGTTTCAGGAACTAAACACAACAGACAGTTAAAATGCAAATTAGTAAAAACCGTAGTTTCACTTGGCGTTAAATAGACGAAAATCGCGTTCACCTGAGGAGGTAACCATAGCAACAGTCGAACACTTTTCTTTAGGATCATTATTGAACGGAACGTTGACAAAATATAAATAATTCTGATATTATATTATTTATAAACAAAGATTTGCATGCTGTTTTGTTTACAAATGTTGTAGAATTTACAATTCGGCTTGTGAGAGACGAAACTCAACAGATTGCACCACTAAAATTCCCAGCGAAATGTATTTTAAATGCGAAAATCGTTGTATAATTAGCGCACGCTTACGTTGAGTAGGCTATTATTAAACTACACTCATATGCTGTCCTGAACGCTTAAACGGGAACGCACACACACACACACACGACGCAGGGCTGCTATTCACTCTGAGCAAAGTGAGTTTATCATTTCACTCTCGTTCCTCGCGCTGGGTGGGATTTTGGAGCGCCCCAGGTCTGACAGCTGTAGTGCGCATGCGCCAAAGGCCCTTTCAGTACCTGCCAGTGCGCTCCTTATTTCACATGTTGCAACCCTCGGTTGACAATCACTCGATTTAAGTTATCAGCTGCGGTTGCTTCACCATGTTGAAGAGGAAAACAACAAGCGAGCAGAGCTAAGGAGGAAGACGACTTCTTGTTTATCCCTTCGACTTCATCTGCTAGCCTACTTTTTGAGGATATACTAACGATGCATCTGAGAACATTGCTTTCGTGAAAGTTTAAGAAGAATTGGACTTGTTTTTTCCCGCGGCGGAATGAAGCAGTGCGTTTAAAGCAAGCCCGGAGACTTTTACATCGCGTACTTTCAAATCACGCTAATCTCTGACGAAGTGACAGTTCTGTCTGTGGAGTTTTACCTGAGCAGGTGAAGCGAACGCTTGCCATCATGTCCAAGTCCATGGATCACGTTAAGCGTCCAATGAACGCGTTCATGGTGTGGTCCCGAGCGCAGCGGCGGAAAATGGCCCAAGAAAATCCGAAAATGCACAATTCCGAAATCAGCAAGCGATTAGGAGCGGAGTGGAAACTTCTGACGGAGTCCGATAAGAGGCCGTTCATCGACGAAGCGAAGCGACTGCGGGCGATGCACATGAAGGAACACCCTGACTACAAATACAGACCCAGGCGAAAGCCCAAGACTTTAATGAAGAAAGACAAATTCGCGTTCCCGATGGCGTATAATTTGGGAGAGCACGAGGCGCTTAAAATGGGCGGCTTATCGAGCGGAGCGCTTACCGAGTCGTTAATGAGCAACCCCGATAAAGTGGCGGCGGCGGCGGCGGCAGCCGCGGCAAGGGTGTTCTTCAACCCTTCCATGTCTACAAACCCCTATTCGTTTTTTGACCTCGGCTCAAAAATGACAGAGCTTTCTCCACCGTCTTTCCCATACGCCTCACCGTTGGGTTACCCAACAGCGGCGACGGCTTTCTCCGGAGCGGGCGCACATACCCACACGCATTCCCATCCATCGCCGGGTAACCCGGGCTACATGATCCCGTGTAACTGCGCGGCTTGGACGTCTGCAGGGCTCCAGCCACCTCTTGCCTACATTTTACTACCTGGAATGGGCAAACCACAACTTGAACCGTATCCCGCGTACGCGGCGGCGTTATGAGACTCTGAAAAAGTTTCTAAACGTGAAATCAACGTAATACACGTGGAGCATGAACATGTGATGCCACGATCGTCATATCAGATATCAAATGTGTTTGTATCATGATTAATGCCTCTGGCGTTCTGTTATTCTGGCGTGGTTATTAATGACAAACGACAGTGTGCTGAGCGAATCCAGTACGCCCTTATCAATGTGAATACTTCTATGAAAAGCTACCAAGTCAGACTAACCTGTTGACTCTGTAACTAGTTTACCATGTGCCGCTATTGCAGAGAAAATTGGGTGATGCTGTTCAAGTGGTTGCATTTTAGCTATATTGGAAAACAAAACAAAACATTGTTTTAATATGAAAAAATCAACCTTGATGAATTCCCGCGCAGTTTTTTTTCTCATCTTCTTCAAATCAGTCATGTTACTGTAAATGTGTACAGTTTTATTAAATCATATCTGGTTAGTGCTCCAAATGCCGGAGCTGTTGGACTAGAAATCAGGTGTAGCCTATATTTTGAGTTTCGAATATTCCATGGATGTATGTAATATTTATTGTTCAGTCAGTGAAACTACCCTATTTGTTGATCGTGGGACACGACGTGTCCTTTGATATTTGCACAAAGGGAGACCATGAGCACTTATAAGTGTAATTTATTCAAAAGAAACAACATGCCCAAGTTCCTGACATTTCTGGGGTGCTGGTCTGCTGATATTCTACATCAGACGACTGTCAGATGCGTTCACGTAAGAAAGTCAGTCCGTTTTTTTACTAACTCGAAGTGAAATTGTATGTTATATGTTTTGCATAATTCCACTTATATGTACTTAAAATGCCTATCGTTCATTTATTGAACAAGGGGGATATAATAAAGCGTATGCGGAAAAAAGGAAATTGCTCTGTAGTTCTTACAAGATTTGTATCTTGAATGCCTTTACTTGGTCGGACCAGGTGAAGTGTAAAGTATCCTCCAAAGGACGCTTTTGTTCGGGCTTTGAATAGAATTACTCAGAAATCTCAAGCAGGTCTTTGTAATCAAGAGCCAAAATCCTGATTTATCACAACTCAGATCATGAATAGGAAGGAAGATAAAGCTGAGGGGTTTACTTTTAAGCAGAAAAACGAACCCGTTTAGGCCTTTCGGACAGACTTTTCTTTGCATGTTTTAGTCAAATAGAGCTATTTTATTAAAAACGGGAACACTCTTGTCGGTTTAATGTTTTATGTACTCACCAGTTGTCATTAATTATGCATAATACACATACACATCATTCAAACGGGGCAGCATTATTCAAAACATTTACGCCTTTCTTCCCAATATGCTCCGTGCAGGGTCGTTCTTAATGTAAACTGCCCTCTTAGATTACATTAAGAAGTTAATTCGTATGGCTCAGACCAATTATGCAAAACTAATTTGGACTGTCCAGGGATAATTACCTCCGCCACGGTTAATTGAATCTTTTGACTGGCCTGTATTCTCTATTGTCACACCGCGATCGCTGCTCTCCACGGAGCTTCCTCCTTCGCTTTGGGAAAGTGACCTTTTTCACTTGTTACGAACCAGACGAATCAACAAATCACCGGGCTATATATGCACATTATTTACAGGACAGACACCTTTTCAAGAGTGATGCTTTTTTAATTTCAGAGCAGCTTCTTGATGACCTTTTGCACATTTTTTTGTTTTCAACTCATGCTTTTCCAAAACTCCTGAAAAACTTGTGTGAAAGATTTGCATTTCAATGCAACCTAAGTAGATATTTCATATTTTTAAAAACATGTTTGAATTTAATAATTTATTTACTTCTAATAGTATATTAACACTGTATGTTTAACTTTACACTGGGAAAAGGTGAAAATGTGCTTCCCACATTTTTTTTTTTTTTGGTTTTCCCAAACCAATTAAGAATTTGAAATATTTGCATTTCAGTGCAATATAGTCATTGCAAAGTAGATATTTACGTTTTTTTTTAGTGTTATGCACATTATTTTCAGGACAGACACGGTTTCAAGAATGATCCTTTTTTAATTTCAAAGCAGCTTTCTGATGACCTTTTTAAACGTTTGCAAAACTACTGTAGAATTTGTCTTAAAGATTTGCATTTCAATGCAACCTAAGTAGATATTTCATATTTGAAACATGTTGCTATTTATTCTTTTATTTTTTTTACCTTAATTTGCACATTTTTTGTTTGCAACTCACGATTTTCCAAAACTCCTGAAAAACTTGTCTGAAAGATTTGCATTTCAATGCAACCTAAGTAGATATTTCATGTTTTTAAAAACATGTTTGAATTTAATAATTAATTTACTTCTAATAGTATATTAACACTGTATGTTTAACTTTACACTGGGAAAAGGTGAAAGTGTGCTGATTTATTTCTACCTGCCCTGACCTTTAAAATAACTTTTGCAGGTGCAACCGGGTTGATTCGGCTAATATCTCAAAGCTGTCACCACATATGCATATTTTAAATGACCTGAAAACCAACTTTTTTTTCTCTGAATTGGTCTCTATATTACGAAAGCTCTTCGTTTCAGCCCACAGTTTGCACACCGAAATGCCTGAAAAGGTGGTCCGCTCCACAAAAGAGCGCACATCACCAGCCCAGTGACCATTTTCCTTTTTTTCTCAGCTCTCTTTTCTCCCTCCGTTTTAAAAAAGGGGGCACTAACTGAAAGAACTTTGTCTCCCTTCAGTAGGAGCATTTAGACAGTCGAGGAGGTTTTGTCTCGGAACAAAACATGAGTTGGGAGGCCTTTGTGAGCCTGTTGTTTGTTGAAGTGGAGCTCAGCAAAAAGCGCCTGCTTTCCTTCATTGTGGTTAAAGCAATCAGTGGTATTTGGAAAACTGTTAGCATTGTGCACTTCTTCTGTGTTCATTGTTGAGGATTTCTTTTCACAAGGTTTTTTTTTCTTCCCCCCTTTTTTTTTCAGGCAATCCAGCTGGCCGGGGTGAATAGCGCTGCAATGTGTACACGCTTTGTCCCTCCGAGTCCTTCAAGTAGCCTACATTGAATAGAGTGAGTTGACACTGGATGACAGTGAAACAACATAATAAAAAATACATGAGCGCATGAATGGAGCCAGGCGCATAAATAAATAAAATGGGTGACCAAAACTGGATAAACTGAATGACAAAACGGTGAAAGGGGAACAAAAAGATATTTAACACTGCAGATTAGCATTAGAAAGCCATCTACAAAGCAGAACAATTGATGAATGCGTTTCCAGGCCAAGAAAGGAATGAACTAAATGGCTTTTGAATAGATATGCGTTTTCTTTTCTGGAAAGGAGATCCAGTGGGAAAGGTAGAGATGCGACTATTCAAACAACCGCATGAGAAAATCTTTTGACGAATGGGAGAATGATGAAATTTGTTCATTTACAGAACCAAAAGGTGCCTCTTTTTTGGCACAAAGTTCACGGTGAGTCACAAATCGCTGACACGAGGAAAGCATTGATACGTTGAGGTATTTCGCCAAGATTTTTGACGTTATCATCCTCGACTATCATCAGGTGTCATCTATTATATTGTGCCAAGTTGTGTTTTCTTTCATTAAGGCAAGACACCACAGGCGAATGAATATTAGATGGAATATTTAACTAAAAGATATCACCATACTTTCCCAGTTGATCGATAACATTAAGTATTTTTTTGTATTACATGCTTTCTGAAATTTTATATTTAAATATGCAAATGAGGCATTATCTAATTATAAATTGCATATATTTCCTGAAGATAAATCTGAACATTGGATAATGTCAGGTTTAAAATACCGTCAAAAGACAGAAAAAAAAAAACCTTTACAATGTTTTTTGGAATAAAATGTTGTATAACATCAGGCGAATAAAATATATATGAACAAACCCCTTAGTAAAAACCTTCAGAATATAGATAGGAATAAAGCTGTACATTTTGGTGCATGTGAGTGCTGCTGAATTGGAGGAAAAAACTCATTTTGAGAAACGACCTTTAAAAAATATGTGTTATAATTGAAAAAGTGGAGAAAAAAAACTCACAGCCTTTAAAGATACTTGTTGAAACCTACAGATGCAAATAGATAAAGTGCACTTAAATGTGTATTTTGAATGTTTTCTTTCCACTAGTCATAAAATACATGTTATGCAAAGCAAAACAGCCCAAAATCTCAGTCCAGTGCATGAACATACAATGTTTTTGCCTGTAGTGTCGGGTTGGTAAAACAGCACACAACTTGTCAAAGTTGACACTAGATCACACAGTTTATGTAAAAAGGCTCCAAATTTCCTAAACACAATATCCATTAAATGAAGTTCAGAAGCCAACATACTATTACAGGCGGGATTTTTCTCCAGCATGGGTGTATTTCACACTACAGTGATAGTATCAGATGACAGACGAGGAAAAAGCCACATTTATCCAACCTAACAATCCTTTGAGGAATTGAACCTATGGACGATTGGTCAGCACACTCTGATTCACTGTGTCTTTTAAAGCGCTCATTGATTTTTGGCGATTTGATCCTTTTCAGCCTCACTAAACACTCCAGCCATGATAATAGAAGTTTCCGCCTATGACCCAAATATCCTCTGTGTTGCTTCAACATACAAAAGATTTTTTTTCCTCCCTCAAGTGTGTAAAAGTGCTTCCTCTCTACTGGAAATATATGAGCAATGACACTGAAAAACATATCTGTGAGATATTATTTCTATAGTCACGCTGATACTTTAGAGAGAGAGAAAAAAACAAAACAATTTGAAATATTTTGAGACGAGAATTCCCAAAGGTCGTAATGGTACAGTAAATAAAATGCATTTGCACTTCTAATATGTTTTTACAGGACAGTCCTTCAGAATGATGCATGGCCAGATAACATCACAAATAAATCATGTAAATAATGTTATCAACTGTTTTTTTTGGCCACTTGTTGAAAGTAATTTATCAATTTCTGCTGCCAAACACTGGCACAATGCTTCCTCACTTACTGCAATATGAAATTTGAAAACTATATTACACTATAAAGAGAAAAAAAAAAATTACATATAATGCAACAAATTTAACAGATCTGATTATTTTAAATTTTTATAATTTTGGATTGAAATAATATAATATGCATAATAATGATAATATGCATTATAAGGAATAAGATGCATTTAAAACAATGACTGTATTATTCAAAAATCTTAAAACTAGGCTCTGAAAAGTTGATCTCAGGTTTTTGTCATTTATGAATATAGATGCCTCCATGTTCAAGAATAAAACTCAAATAACAAAATTTAGTGTTTGATGAACCCTTGACGCTGTGAACTTGACGTATTAGATGGAATACACCGCAATATAAACATAAGAGATCAAATAATATAAGATTTTAATCAAATCCCTTATACTGGCGGTAAAAAAAAATACAAATAATAAGAAAAAAATGTCCTTTATAAAATAGAATTACGTAAGATATTTACTGGTGCCTACATGTTTAAAAAATAAAACTCAAATAAACTTTAGCATTTAATGAAACTGTGAATTTGACAAATTAGACAGAATACACTGCAATATAAACATAAATGAGATTTAAAAATATAAGCTGGTGGTAAAATATATACATTGTACAAATAACTTAAAAAAATAGTGCTTTTTAAAATAGAATAACTTTTAAGATATAAAAAATAAAGCTCAGGAAGAATAGATATAAAATTGGAGTCTAATCCTTCATGCTGATTGTAAAATATTGCACAAATATTAAGATAAAATATCCTTTTTAAAATGTTAAATTATGCATGCATAACACATTATGGAATAATGACTTGAAAATGTTCTCATGCACAAACTTTTTGTAGCTCAGATAGATGGAAAATATTTTTTATTGATAATTTAGATCCACTCTCAACCAATCCTAG